CGCCCTCTCTCTCTCTCTCTCTCTCTTGCTGCCGCTCTCTCTCTCTCTCTCTCTCTCTCTCTCTCTCTCTCTCTCTCTCTCTCTCCCGACTAGCAGCTTTTACTTGGTCGCATGGTCTTCCCGGCATAGTCTTGTCAGATTAAGGCCAAGGATGTTTTCGTCACGGTTTTGCAACGAAAGCGTGTGATGGCCCTCGATATGTGGTGAGCTGGAGAAGGAAAAAAGGATTATGTATACGTCCAGTTACATTCAAGAGCAGCAGAGGTCCACCAAAGCTTCTGGCTCCTATGAAACGAGTTTCGTGCTGACCTGTCAGGACTCACGGTTCAGGTGCAATGGGGGTGAGGATGCGGTATCCATTGGCATTAGAGGCAGGGACAAACCGACGGAAGATGCCTGGGCTTCTCAAAATATAGCCTGCACCCGAACCCTTAAAGTCTTCAAGACGAGTTCCCGAAGATAGTCTCCACTTGCGTCGGTATCCTCAAGTTCATGACGAAATTAAACCTGGCACCAAGAGGAAAACACTGCAACGGATGATAGGAAGCACTCATTTTGTAATAAGTGCTGAATTGAAGTGCATGAAACTGCTTGAAACCATATCCTTTTGAACAAACGAATAGAAAGAGCGACGATGTCGATACCACTTGCCCTGACGACGACGAACAGCTGCCGCAGAACGTTTTTCAATTTGAATTGCAGGCCCAGAAGAAGCTGCAGCATTCGACCCATCTCCCCATGAAGACGAAGCCAAACCGTGCATCACCGCTCACCATGTGGCTACATAAAATATGCATGAAATGACGGCTGGGTAGCTGGATGCCCTCCAGGCTCTGGCTCAACTGCATGCCAAACGTCAAACTCTGCAGGCTGCTGGGTAGCTGGATGCGTTCGTCAAATTTTGCAGGCTGCTGGGCAGTTACATACCCTCCAAGATCTGGCTGAACTGAATGCCGAACCTCAAACTCTACAAGCTGCTGGGTAGTTGGATGACCTCCACGCTCTGGTTGAAGTGCATGCCAAACGTCAGACTCTGCAGGCTTCTGGGCAGCTGGATGCCCTCCAAGCTCTGGTCGAAACCGTTACCAAATGTCAAACTCTGCAGGCTGCTGGGTAGTTGGATGTCGTGGGTGAGCTCGTGGATGGAGTACCATGTGAGTGACATCGCTTCGTTCAGGGCAGCTGCATAAACAGAACCTCTCCTCGAGTAGACACTCCCAAAACATCGCGACACGACCCGCGCCAACTTCCGAACCACGTAATTACCAGATTTCGTCGCACAGGACTTGATGCAGCAGCAGCAGCAGCAAGCGCTGATCGATGACACCACCACCGGATATCAGCCAGCACAAGTGAACCTGCAGCGTGGCCAACTCCGGCTGCGATGCGTTCCGCTACTTCCCACCAGAGGCAATGAACGTTCACGGTCCGCTTGGCCCTCTCCTGACCGACCTCTGTAAGCTGCGGGACGCTGCATGCCCCCAAATGCGACGGCGCCGCTTCCCCCTGAGGCGCTAAGATGAAAAGCCCGGTAGTTCCCAAGTATGGTTTAAGGTTTGAGGAAGCCCCTAAAGGGGGCCAAAAACAAATCATCCCACTTCGTTCAAACGTTTGCGCTCCCCTTTCAAGATGCCTTTCATTGAAGGAGTTTCAGTGGAAGGAGGACCCTCAGAGGGTGTACCGTAATATACCGAAAAGCCCTATTCTAACTGTGAAAGGCCCCTGTATTAAACCACGCGCCCTTGAAAGCCGCGTGCGAGGACTTTGCCCAAAAAACTTGGAGTTACCGGAATTATCTTTCGAAGCTTCGGGCCTAAGGTAATGTATGTGCCTTGCTACTCCGAATAGGGTTTTGGTGCATACCGTCCCATGCTTGAAATAAGGAGCCGGCAGAGTCTTAAGAGGCCCCTTCCTACGGGTTCCAAAAAGCCCTCGAACCCCATTCCCCTAAACCCTTGAAAGAAACCCAAAAGAGGAACCCTCTGGTATCCGTAAAGGAAACCTTTGGGCACCTTTAAACCCTAAAGCCTATACCCAAAACCCAAAACCCTGAACCCTAAAGCCTAAAGCCTAAAGCCTAAACCCAAAACCCGAAAACCCTAAAGCCTAAAGCCTAAAGCCTAAAACCCTAAACCCTAAACCCTAAAACCCCAAACCCGAAAACCGTAACACCCAAAACCCCTAAACCCTATAAACCCTAAAAGCCTAAAGCCCTAAAGCCTTAAAACCCCAACCCAAAAACCCTGAACCCTAAACCCAAAACCCCTGAAACCCTAAAACCCTAAAAAATCCTAAAAAACTCACATAAAACCCTAAATTCCTACAGCCCTAAAAAACCCTATAAACCCTAAACCCCTAGGGTTCCTTCGAGCTCCCGGGCGCTTCGGAGCGCCTTTTCAGGCCAGCGGGCGGCCCCCGGTGGCCGGGGCTCCTGGAAGAAGGCCTTTAAGGACCTTTAGGGGTTTAGGGGTTTAGGGATTTACGGGTTTAGGGTTTAGGGATTAGGGTTTTAGGGTTTTGGGCCTTTAGGGGTTTAGGGTTTAGGGTTTAGGGCTCCTTCAAGGGTTCCTTTAAAGGGTTCTTTCTACCAGGGCTGCTACTACTGCTGCTGCTGCTGCTGCTACTACTACTACTACTACTTCTACTAGAAAGGTTTAAGATCTTAAGATGGGTTGGACGGTTTAGGAATTTGGGTTTAGGGATGGGAGCCTTATTAATTGGACTATAGGGTTCCTGCAAGGGTTCCTTTAAAGGGTTCTGCAAGGGTTACTGCTAGAAGGGTTTTATGTGGGGGCTTCAAAAATATGGTCTTGGTGATATTCTACTAGTTTTACACTAAGCCCTAAAATGGTAGTGGTAATTATTCAAGCCGTTACATTAGGATCATGGGGTTTGGTGATTTCGAGTTTAGGCTTTAAGGCTTTGGGACCAGGGCTTGAGGAATCGAGAGTGTCCAGGGCTAGGTCAACCACAACCTCGAAACCTGTTCCAAACCCCTCAACATCAACTGGGTAGTTCTCCGAATCAGGGCCCCTTTTCGTGTCCTTGGTATACGGGTGCTGTACAATTTTGGAGATCCGAAGGCGGCCCTAATTTAGAGAACTACCCACTTGTCAATCTTTGCATTCCAAAGCCGTGAGAGGACACCACCCGATCCGAAAGCCGCAAGCCTCCAAATCCTGAACGTAGAGACCCCAAGCCACTTACAAATAGGCCCCTAAGGGATTAGATTCTAAAATATAAACCTACTTAGGGGCCTATGGGCAAGCCCTCGAACCTCAAACCTCAAACGAAACCGCCCAAAAGCCCTGAAAACCTTAAACCCCCATTCGACCTAAAACCCTTCAGTTCAGCCTCAAAACCCTCGCTCCTCCGAGAAGGCGGCACCCTGAGCTGCCGACCTTCTTATGCGAGGTCGCCAAACCCCTAAAGCCTAAACCCTAAACCCTAGACAGCAAGGGAGCATGAGTATCCGGCGTTGCCGGGGGGCCACAAGGAGGATGTATAGCACTAGTAGACTCTTCAGATGGTTTGGTCAACTCCCGAAGCCCCAAAAGACAAACGTGGTAAACTCCAAACGCCCCGCAACACCCAAAGCATGACATCCAACGACACTCGGCCTCCGGAGCTTTGGGCGGACGGGGTTCTGGAATTCGGGTCAGTCCGTTGCCACTGCATAAAGCCTATTCATGCACACAAAGCAACAACAACGAAACGAAGAACTGAAACTCCAAAGCAAGCCGGACAGTCGGCCAAAATAACTCACGCAAGGAACAACAAAAACGCTCCGGGGGTGGCGCTCCCTCTTGCGCTGCAGCTGCGCGCCGAGGAATTCCAGTGTCTGGCGAAGACTGATACTGAAATAATAGCAATAAACATAAACACGATTTTATACTAGTAGTAAGTGTCGTAGTCGTCGTCGTCGTCGTAGAAGTAGTAGCAGCAACAGCAGTAGTAGTAGTCATAATACGGAAGCACCCTTTTCAGTGTATCGGGTTCTGCGAGAAGCTCGCTGCTTCGTCCAACTGGTTTTGTCACCTGCTATGTAGTGTTAGGGTTTAGATTCTTTTGGCCATCCCATCACCTCTGGCAGGATGTACATGTTGAAGCTGTTTGATTTTACCCTGTAGACATATATCAGGGAACGACTGCTTTTACTTCAGAAGCACGGGCCTGCATTCCGTCCCACTCTTATAAACAGGCGCACGACCGGGCGAATACTTTAGGCCGCAGACATAATAGCAACTCGAACAAAAATCAAAGATCATCGACTGTAAAGTTTCAGGCCATTCTCAAAACAAACGCGCACGGGCCCGTATTCCTGGGCTCTCTAATACTAATAGTTAATTAATAAGAATGCATAAGTCTATAAATAATGGTTTAAACCTAGTCTGTAGTCCCGCTGGACTTTCTCCAGGTTCAACAAAAGGGTTTTGGGAAGGATAAAGGGCTTTGCCAGCCTTTCTCTACAGGGCTTTTACATGGCAGCTATACTGGTGCTCTTCTACAAAGGTTCCACAGGGAGTGGTGGCGTTCGGCGGGTATATATCTTGTACTGGCTTTGAAGGACTCTCTGGTTCAGTTCTTATGGGTGTGGCGGTAGGGTGTTTAGCGGCTTACGGTTTGTAACTTAGCACGTTTGGCGGTTCAAGGTCTCAGGTTTGCCCGCGGTTCCAAGCCTCAGCTAACCAACGGTTGGAAGGATCAAAACTTGTCATATGGCAGAGGTTCGAAGTCGTATTGCTTCGTAGGTCTTCGGTTTTGGCGGCTAGTCTTGGGAATTGGGAAGCATCAGTGTTGGGGCTTGCCTTGGGCTGGCAGGGTTTAGGACCCGGTCGTAACTAGTTTTGTGATTAGTGGAACAACACACAGCTTCGGGGAGTGCGGCGATCGGCTTTAAGCGTGATTGGTTCCTGGCATACTCCTGCCATTCTAACACAAATACACTTTACGATAACATGCGTAAATAAGGGAAGGCCCCCAAGATGACAAGCCCTACGCCCGGATGCAGAACCCCAAAACAAGGAGCTGCGAAGAGCCAGAAGAAGGGACCCCGAAAAGTCCAGAGCCCCAAAGACCCAAAGCGTGAGGAACAAGGTCGCAAAGGGATCCCTAGAACTCCAAGCTTCTTCTCAGGGTTTAGGGGTTTAAGGGTTTAGGGGTTTGGGGGTTTGGGGGTTTGGGGGTTTAGGGGTTTAGGGGTTTACCAACATAATACGGCCTCAATAATTGGAAGAAGGTTTTGGGGCTACATTCCCGTAGAACTATACAAAGGGACTACGAGAGGTTGCTATCAGTAATGAGTCCCACCCACATGAGCCTTCAGATGCCTAGAGCCCCGAAAAACCCAAACCTTAACCCTAAAATCCCAAATCCTAGAGCCTTCAATTTATTAATACCCCACAAAACCTAATCATGAACGTGTCACCAATATACTTTTATCGCATACCGCAGTGCATGGCAAACCGAACAGATTGTATCGCTGATGATGTGGCCACGTGCCGAACCGATCGAAGCGGTTCTTACCGCAGAATATCGCAAATTCACCCACCACACCAGACGCCAGACACCAGCTACATCAGCCGCACCAGCCACCCACACGGGCCCCCACCTGATTCAACCCTAAATCAGAATCCCTTTCTACTCCTAAGCCCCCGTAAAGCCTAAACCCTAAACCCTAAACCCTCCCTAAACCCTATAAACCCTCCTTAAACCCTAAACCCCAAACCCTATAGCACCCCAGCTCCCAAAGTCCCCGATCCCATGAGACCTCAAGGAGCTCCCTGAGCCGCGCCGCGGCGCCCGTGGACTTCTCCGCGGAAGCTGAGGCGCCATTGAGGGATTCGCGGTCTTTGAGCTGTTGGCTTCTTTTGGGGGGTTTAGGGGATTTAGGGTTTAGGGGGTTTTAGGGTTTAGGGTTTAGGGGATTGAGGGTTTATGGTTTAGGGCCTAGGGGATTTAGGGCTTGGGGTTTAGGGTTTACGGTCTTTGGGCTTTTGGCTTCTTTTGGGGGGAGGGGTTTTGGGGAAGGCCTAAGCCCTAAACCCAAGTTGGGGACCTGGGGCCCCTCATCGGGGGTCTTTAGGCCTAGGGGGGTTTTGGGCAGATTAGGGTTCGGGGCTTCGGGCTCAGGAATCAGGAAAGTATCCTCAGGCGTTTAGGCTTCAGGGTTTAGGCTTTAGGGTTTATGCAAGCAGTCATGGGACCATCCAGAAGCGAATCACTTGTGGATGAACTACATAAGGAACGAGGGTTTAGGGAGTTTAGGGTTGTTCGGGATTGAGGTTGCAGGCGTTGCTCGGAAGAGGAGGTCTTAGGAGTAACGTTTCCTTGTCTAGGCTAACATCCTGGGCCCTGATGGCCTTTAGATCTCTGACAGAGTCTAGGTGGCTTTGCTGCCAAACCCCTCCCTACCCTAAGAGTTTGAAGGGAGACACAGTAACCTTTAGTGTTTAGGGGTTTCGGGTTTAGGGTTTAGGTTCGTGCAAACTCTAACGGGTCCTGCGTGCAACCTGCAACCCTGCTTGCAAGCCAGTTACAGGGTCATCGGATGATCGAAGTGCAACCCACCCTAAATGTAAAACTTCACCTAAATCTTCACTCAAGCCTAAACCATAAACCAACCCCAAAACCGTCTAGATCCCTTTAGAAACGTTTGTAGATCCTTTGCAGGACCAGGAATCCAAAACCCTAAAACCTAATCCCTTATTGAACCGTTATAGATCCCTTTAAAGGAACCCTAAACCCCAAACCCCTCGACCCCAATCCCCTAAACCCCAAATCGTATAGATCCCTTATAGAAACTGTATAAACCCCTTTAAACGAACCCTACACCCTAAAACCCCTAAACTCTCCCATCGTGGCGAGCTGCTTTCGCCGCTGTTTCCGAGGGCCTCTGGCACCTTTCCATGTGAGTCGATGGGACTCTTGGCTCGGGGTTTGGGGTTTCGGGTTTACATAGTAGGGTTTAGGGTTTATATAGGGCTTATAGGGTTTATGGGGTTTAGGGTATATGGTTTGGGGTGTCTCTTGGGGGTTTGGTTTTGGGTGCGCCCTAAAGTTTTTGCCCTCGATCGATTGGGGGCCTGGGCTCCATGGCATAATGGCATAGCATGCTTGGCTTTCTTCATGTGTGTGTGTGGGGTTTCAAGACCTATCCAGCTTGATGCCGGAGTCATGGACGAATCTCCTTTCACAGGGACGCTAATTAATGGGGTCCATGCTACTTGCAAACGGCGGGCTGCCAGAAGAAATCAAGAGCATGACCATGTAAGATCCAGCAACCAGCCAGGGATAAACTAAAGCCTCAACAGTTGAGGTTTAGGGTTTAGAGCTGGGTTTTTATGGGGTCAGGGTTTAAACTGCGCATACAGTATAGGAAAACCTAGCCACGAACTTGCGAAAGCAAGCCTTGGTTCACCCAGCAGCGGTGGCACCTTGCGCAGGTAGTCCAAATCGACACAAAGCTGCACAACCCCAGCTGGGGTCAGCTGCTTTATCTGCAGAACCTGCCGAAGTGACTTGCTCAGCACAGTGGAAAGAACACACAGCCTCGCAATTTCTAAACCCTAAATACTGAACCCGTAGTAGCGAAGCCCCGAGCTGCGTCGTTCCGTTTATAGAAGATAAGGCGGACAACACACGTTGGGGTTCATAGGTCCATCAAAGCCCACAACCACCTGCGGACAACCGGAACGCAGAGGAGGGCACTTTTGAGGATGTCGAGTTTTAGAATTAGTGGAAAGCGGAACATGCCCTTGGTAACCAGCAAGCCTGACACCCATAGCCACCCATTTCCGGAAGATCGAGCAAAAAAGTGACTCCACAATCACCCCTGAACGTGAAACCTTCCTAGATACCCAAAATACAAGCAACACAAACTCTAGACCTCTGTGACTAGACTCTACGAAGAGCTCTTCTACCCAGCCTTCTGCACCACCACTTCCACCGCAGCCTCGAGGACAGCCGGTAGCCATTGTAGCTGCGAGCTCTCCTGGCCGGGTCGCCAAACGAATGCCACTGTTTAGGCTTTAGGGGTCTAGGGTTTAGGGTTTAGGGGGAAGTCGGTGTGTCTGGTCTTGTTCAGGTTGGCGAGACCGGCTGCTTCTTCGGACTTTTAGGCAAAGTTCAGCGAGGGGTTCAAGCTCTCGGCCGGAAGCTCATGGCTGATAGGCTGGGCATATTGCGGGTTTGCGTAAATATAGCACTCTACATACACCTCGCCTAGCCCTGGCATTTATAGGGCTGAAGCTTCGCGAGATCCCTGGGCAGCTGCCAAAACCGAGATCCCAAGGATCACGAAGCAACTTGAACTGAAACTGCAAAGCGTCAGACCATGGAAGATTGAACCAACATAAACACGAATAGCAAGCCGCAAGACTGTAACAACTCAGACCCTAAAACCATAAACCCTGAAGCCTTCAATGCCCGGAACTGCTGAACCCTAAATCCCTCATCCCTAAGCCACAAAGTGTCCTGTGATTTTTCGAGCTGTGGTATGAGTGAGAACAAATGCTCTGGGACCTGAGATCGTTGTTCTGTCAGGGCGGGCTCCACTGGGGAACTCCCGGAGCCAAACGTTAGGGTTTAAGGTTTAGGGTTCCGGGTTTATAATATCTTTAATCCACGGGTCTCAATATTAAAAGGATTCACATTTAAAGAATTTTTTGGGGGGCTTGTTGGGTCCGGAAAAGGAGTTTCCATTACGTAGGCGTTTGCTGGCTTTGGGACCTCAAAAAAGGGTTCACATTTAAAGAAATCATTCCGGAAAGCCTAGGTTTGGCAGTAAAGTAGTAAATGATAGGCCTCTAGTAAGGCTGTAGCTGCAACAAAGTAGTATCAGATAGGCCTCTACTAAGGCTGTAGCTGCAGTAAAGTAGTCAAAAATGGGCCTCTACTAAGCCTGTAGCTGCAGTAAAGTAATAAAAAATGGGCCTCTACTAAAAAGGACTGTCCCTTGCAGTTCGATTCCAAAC